CCACTGATGGCGGCAGCAGGCGCTCATGGTGTTCATGGCCCGTGCAGACACTGCCACCTGGCAACATGCAGCTCCGGCCAGCACTGTACCTGTCAAGGGGCGGGTCTCCCCTTCTGGCCCTCAACGGCTCACCAAAACTCATTAAGTGGCATTCCAGCCAACATAATTGCCCACCCCTGGCGCAGATTTACAAACAAGTTACCATGAGGTGAGTAAAGGGAGACGGAGCTAAGGTTCATGGGCTGCTGTATGGTAACTGCCAGTATACACACTTCTTTAGGGCTATTGGGCAGGACCATTATAATGCAGAACCCTTGATTTGGCCACATAAGTCTCTAACTGCAGTTCCCGAATGTAACAGTGGACTAATTTTTGTAAAATATTGTATGGTACGTACTAGAAAGACATATTGAAGAAAGATGTGGTTTTCCCCATCTCTGTTATAAATCACTGTGGTTAGTGATAGGAAAAGATCATCCAGTGCATCTCCCAGCTAGTGTATCAACATTTAGTTATGTGTAACACATGTTCAACAGGAGTTACGTGAATAGAAAGGCATACTTTTCATTTAAATGTGCACTAAAGCACCACTCTTATTTTAAAGGGATTTTTATATTTGATGCTGGTTTAAAAGCTGTAATTAGTGAACGCTTGTGTTTCCCATGAAGTGGGTACAGTCTAGGCAGTAGCAGAGAGAGCTTTCTATGTTGCTCTGTCCGTGGGCCTCAGCCCCAACCTTTCCAAGGGCAGGATAGTAAGTTCTTGAATCTCAGATTTTTTCTTGGGGAGGGAGAGGGGGCAGAGGGAGAGCTGCAAGTTCCCTCTGCCGCAAACATAGACGCACCCTTTTTCCTGGCAGCGATGTGTCCTCTGCTGCTTGGGAGCAAGGAGGTGATAGCAGTGCCTACACCTGCACCACCACGGCTAACACCACTAACCAGCAGCAGCATAACATTGTCCACCCCTGTTTCAGTTCCCAGCATGAGCCTTCTGGTTCCAGAGGAGGAGTGGGATCTGGAAGCAGAGGAGCTGAGGGCCATAGCAAAGAAAATTCTGGGGAGGGAGGGGGAATCTGAGTTTGTTCTCCACACCCCTCAAAGTTCCCCTACAGGCAGGTCTCCTTTTCTGGAAGGCATTTCAGAGGAGGTTGTGGGGGCAGGTGGCTCAGCTCCTCCTGTTGTGCTTCTGCCTGGTGAGGAGGGGGATAAGGCAGGATCCCCACCCTCAACCGAGAAGGGGGTGTGTAGTGTAGTGTGGGATCATTTTGAGGTGGCAAATGATCCCAGGTATGCTACCTGCCAGGACTGCTGAAGGCAGATCAGCTGGGGCAAGGACGTGAAACACTTCACCACCACGGCAATGCTGCTGCATCTCAGGAGGCAGCACCCCTTTGCCCTTGTTCCTCCTCAGCCTGACACCAGTGGGAGCATGCCCAAAAAGAAGTCTCCCTCTCGCTCCAAAGCCCCCGTCCCCTAGAAGCAGAGGCAGAACCAGTGGGGGAAAGGCGGAGACAGGGGGGGTCACCTTCTGAAGGCAAGTGAGATCATCTAGAGCATTGGGGAGATGCTTGCTCTGGATGGCCAGCCCTTCTCCTTTGTTGAACGTCCAGGTGGCTCATGGCACTCGTGGCCCCATTGTACCAAGTGCCCACATGCACCACCTTTAGCAGGATGGTGTGTAGCAGGATGGTGGTGCCTTCCATGTATGAGGCATGCAGGGAGTACTTGAGAGAGGAGCTGCGGAAGGCAAGTCCGCAGGTAGCCTTGCACTTCACCTCAGACATCTGGAGCAGCCGGGGTGGAGATCATGCCTTCCTCTCCTTCACAGGGCACTGGTGCAATCAGTCAGGGCGTCTGTGGGCTCTCCTTCAAGTGGAGGTGATGGATGGGTCCCACACAGCAAGGGAGATCATGGTGGCCATGAACTGCATGGTGCAGGGGTGGCTCGTTGGGCTGGGCGAGCTCACCTGTGGGTTCATGGTCACCGACAACGGGGCCAGTATGGTCAAGACTGTGTATGTTCCCAACTTTGTTGACGTCTGTTGTATGGCACACAAGTTCCACCTTGTAGTCAGGGGCGCCTTAGAGGGGGGACAGGTCTCCCGGTGACGGCGTCATCACTACCAGCCAGCTCATTTCGAAATGCAGGAAAGTGGTGGGCTACTTCCACTGGAGCGTCAAGAGGGACAAGATGCTACAGGAGAAACAGGCAGAGCTGAGCATCCCGGAGCACAAAACCATGCAGGATGTGGAGACTCGGTGGAACTCCACACATACCTGATGCTGGAAAGGCTAGTTGAGCAACAGAAGGCCATCCATGAGATGGTCTTGGTTGGGGAGATTGGGATCAGTGGCCTCCCTAAGAAAATGGAGTGGGATACCATCTCCCAGATCTCAGTGGTCCTCAAGCCGTTCCTCGAGGCCACCGAGCGCCTCAGCGCTGGCAATGCCCTCCTCAGCCAGATGATCCCCTTAGTGAAGGAGCTTGAGAATGAAATGGAGAAGTTCCAGGGGATCAATGTTCCTGGATGGGGCAAGCCGCTTTCACTAGAGGTGCAGGCACTGGTGAAGCAGCTGAAGGAGGGCATCAAAAAACAGCTGGATCCGTTGCGGTCCAGTATGGTCCACATGCTGACAGCCATGTGCGACCCAAGGGTGAAGGGGAGCGTCTGCAGCAGCAAAACCCTTGATCACTGGACGGAGGTGCTAGTGAACAGTCAGGGAGGCAGAAGGGTAGAAGCAGGGGGACGTGGAAGAGGGAGATCCACTTTCCTGGCCCAGCACTCCAACCACAAGCCAATCTCCTCCACCACAGCCGCTGCCAGTGTGGGCCAAGTGCATGGCTTCAATGTTGGTGTCCAGAGGCACCAGACCCCACCATCAGGCAGGTAGTGTGGAGGCCATGGTGGCTACCTCGCCGAGGACATGGAGCTGCTGCACTGCAACCCCTTGGCCTATTAGGCAACCCACAGCCAGGTGTGGCAGGATCTGGCCACGGTTGCCCGGGAATACCTGTCCTGTCCACCAACTAGTGTTCCAAGCGAGAGTGTGTTCAGCATTGCCGGGGATGTTGTGACACCCCACCACACCTCCTTGGATGCTGGTTTGGTGGAGCAGCTGGTGTTCCTGAAGGTGAACCTCCCACTGCTGGGGTTCCCCAAACTCCATGTGCTGCTGGAGTGAGTGCCACCGTCCTCACTCCGCACCTATTTGCTTTTTTAATTTGCTTTCAGAATCTTGAGGTGCACTTTCACAGAACCCCTTGCGCCCCCTCTGCCTGAAACCTGGCAGGCCTCATGCCCGCACAAGGGGCTGCCATCCCTGCTGCTTCATCCCGCTCTGCCTTAACACACATAATTGATATGAGTTTTGCTTTCAACAGTTTGAGGTGCGCTTTCACAGAAAGCCCTGCACCTGTCTCCTTGAAACTTGGCAGGCTTCATGCCCTCAGAAGGGGCTACCATCCCAGCTGTGTTTTCATCCGAATCTGCAAAAAAATGACAGTGTTATAGGTATTTTAGTGATTTCCCCATTATAGTCTACAGCCGAATCTCCGAATCCGAATCAGCCGAATTGAATCAGGACAGTGATTCGAATCACTGAATCGAATCACTGTCCCTCCGAATCAGCTGAATCCGAATCTGGATTGAATACTTGCTGCTTTGCACAGGCCTAGTCCCTACCGATTAGCTTTATCAAAGGCTCTAGATTGATGAAAGAAGCAGCCCTTAAATTTGGCCATGAGAAGTTCATTGGTTACCTTGGTATATGTATGTTGTCTTGACATATTGGGAAGATAAAGAATGTCATTACGCAAGCAGCAGCCCTCTGCTACCACCCCCCATACAATTTATATAGCAGAGTCCAGAAGATGTGGTTCCTGTTGTTCTAAGCACTCTACATATGCCAGGTAAGAGACTGACCCTGCCCTGAGAGTTTACATGATGGGACTCTGATTCAAGAAAGCATCCCTATTAACAAAAGCATTCAAGCATATGCCAACCCACAGCAGGGGTGACCAACCCATGGCTTGCCTGGTGCAAGTAGTATGAGCCCTGGCCGCTTGGGAAAGGGAGGCACCAGAATTGAGACAAGATGAGGAACTGAGTGCTTCATGAATGGGGTGGGGAGAGGGGTGTTGGGATCAGATGTCACTACTAAGAGCCAAGTTAACCCCTCCCTGGCCTCTCATCAAATTTTTAGGATCCCCACTTTACCACATAAAATTGCAGTGTTTGTGGAGTGGGGGGTTAGGGGGAGTCAGGGAAGGGTTAACCTAGCTTTTGGTAGTGGCGCCGCCTCTTGAGAGAGTTTCCTGCCCCTGCTTGGCTCCACACTGCCAGAGGCTCAAGCCTCCATGCCTCCATTCTGGCACATGAGCAGGGCCAGGTAATGCATAAGCAAACTAGGCACGTGCCTAGGGCCCTACGTGAAGAAGGAGCTCAAAGGGGCCAAGCTGTTCAAAAGCAGTACATGCATATATTAGAAGGAGCCTGTGGAAAATAATATGCTTTTTCCATTATAGCTTAACATTTATTAAAGTTTTAGGACAACTAGAGTGCACAATGCTAGATTTCATAAGTAATAATGAATTTATTCTTATTTCAGATCCTTTGACAAATGAAAAATGGCTACTGTAGACGAGAAGGTAAAATGTGTCCTATGGCTAGCAGAATTGAAGTCCGTATCAGCTGTGAGAAGAAAATAGTGGTTATGTTGAAGTGTAGCATTGTGTACTCTAGTTGTGCTAAAGCTTTAATAAATTTGCTTTTAAATGCCATTTACAGATTGTTTCTATCATACCTACAACCTAAGTTATTAAAGTTTAAAAGTGCACAAGGACTTTATGAAACCCCTGTGTGTGTATGTATGTATCTATCTATCTAGAGACATCTATATATCTATCTATCTATAGAGCTTTCTCTCTGTCTCTCTCAAGATCTCTATAGATAGATAGATATAGAGATAGTTCTATATAGATAGATATGCAGACACACACACACAGAATTAAGTAGGGGCCCATAAATTTGTTTGTCTAGGACCCACTAAAGGGTTAATTCAGCCCTGCACATGAGGGCACAAACTGGGGTATGCCTCTGTTCGGGAGAGGGATCAGAGCAATGCTTGGGGAGATGGTGGGGCTTAACTTGTGGCACATCTGCTAAAAGGGTTTGCCATAATTGCTTTGGGAAAACCAAATATAGAGGGGGAAAGAAAACAGTTCTGGATATGTTAGTCAGAAATGCATGTGTTCTGGACAACCCTTTAAAACTTTAAAGTATTATTAAGATGAAGGTTTTCCTTAGGAAAGTTTAACCTCCCCATTTGGTAGTGTGGTTTGACTCTATGAATGTTTTACTAGCAAATATATTCACTGAAAAATTCCATTTTTAAATTTTGTTTTAGGACACTCCCTTCCCACCCATACACTCACACTATCAGATGCAGTAAAGTATTACTGGTGAGTACATAATTGATGAAGAGCTCTTTGAAACCAGGAGTTCATGGATTGGAAATACTGAAGGAGTTGTTTACTCTGCTAAATTTATATGGTAGCATCAAGTGGCAAGGCAAAACAGGGCTCCATTGTGCTAGGTACTGTGCAACCAACAGTAGTTTAAGTGACAGCCTTTCCTCAGTGAGCTTACCATTTAAATAGACAAGGCAGGGGCAGAGCAAGGGAAAGTCTATATCCCTATTCAAGGTGAACAGAGCAGTAGTTTGGACATATAATATTAGTCCTGTGCCAGCAAAATCCTAGTATAGACCCAGTTACCTGGCAAACTCTGCTTTTGTTTGTTATGGCTTATTTCATGTATGGCTTATTTCATGGAGAATCATAGAAATTAAGGGTTGGAAAGGACCTTGAAAGATCATCAAGTCCAACCCCCCTGCTCTGGGCAGGAATACTGCTGAGATCAAATGATCCCTACAAGGTGTCTGTGCAGTCTCTTCTTGAAGACTTCCAAGACTGGGTACTGCCCCACTTCCTTGGGAAGTCTGTTTCAGATTCTGGTCAGCTGGAGAAGGCTGGAATAAGCTATACTGGCAAAAGCATATTTTTTTACACAGGCTCCTTCTAATGTATTTTTAAACGTACATCTTGTACCCAAGAAGGTTTGAACGTGCTAATCTTTTCATCTGTATGTAAATCTGTTGTGAATGGACTTTTACTGTGATGTGTGTTTATGGAATTTAGTAAAACTATCTTTCTGAAACTGCCATCTGCTGACCTGCATGAAAGTTGACCACAGGTTTGATAAGTTCTAGATCATAATTTCAGGCAAGCCCTTTGAATTTCACTTGCAGGGATTTCCTGATCTCAAACAAAATGCCCTTCTTTATATCAAAATGTATATAAAAAGAGGGGTATGCAGGGGCTTCCATATGAGGAGAAATTAAATAGGCTAGGACTTTTCAGCTTGTAAATGTGATATACATTTACAAATTACTAAATGGTTCAGAGAAAATAGAGATTTATTATTTACTCTCTCAACATACTAGAAGTAAGGGACATATGATGAAACTAATATGTAATAGGTTTAAAACTAACAAAAGGAAGGGGTTTTTTTCCGCAATGAGGAATTAACTCGTGGAAACCATTGCCGTTGCCACTGCCACAAAATTTTTCCTTTGTGCCTTCCCAGTGAAGTAGGGATTTGTGTAAGTTGAGAAAAGCTCACCTGAGGATTGATCTAGTGCACAATTTCTAAGGATCTAAGTGTCTGTTTTCCATTTGTTATGACAGAGCTATATGGAGATGGTCTCCATTAAATGTTTTCTGATATTTCCTCCTTAAATACTCTGTTAGTGGAAGGTAACTAACATAGGCACTACATTAGGTGTCCAATAAATTGGATTTATAGATTATGAATGAAGGCAAGTAGTTATTCAAAGCAATTGGTTACATTATAACTATGAACACACAAATGCAGCTTCTTTAAGTCTTGATGTCCTTGCAAGCTAGTGTTTGGAGCAAAGAGCTGAGAACTGCAAGTTTTGACCTCAGCTTGGTATATGACCTTGGTCATGTCACTTGGCCAACTCTTCTTGGACGTGATGGTGACAGAAGCAGTTGACAGCCTCTGCTGATCATGATGGTTTCTTTGTACTCTTTCATCAGCCTGTCTGTATCAGCCTGTTGCTTTGGGTCTTGTATTTACCTTGTACAGCCTATGCAGCAGCTAAATAGCTCCTGTTATTTTTCAAGGTTTCTAAATCAACTCTGACATATGCTTCCCCATCACTGTTTCTGTGGCCTTTGGGGTATGATTGGGTACAAAATAGGCAGCATGACTGAAAGCTATTATGCACTTCAGCAATTTATACATTCCACAAGTATGCAGATAAATCACAGTTTATTACAAGGTAAGCAGTAGACAAACTGGGACTGGCACTGTGCTATGCTTCTCAGTGAATTGTGTACTTGTCTGGTATTGATAAAGTAAAAAACACTACTATTACTTGGTTACATTTGAGACTAAATCAGATGTGGGTGCAAGTGAATGGTGGTGTTGATATTGCTATTCCACTTCCTGTAGAGAAAAGGATATATATCAGGCTTTTAATTTATAAAAACTTAATTTTGCTTTTTCTGATATCTTTTATTAGGCCCTGAGGGAAACTAATAAATTGGCTGAAATGGAAGAACCTCCTTTGCTTCCAGGAGAAACCATTAAGGACATGGGTACGTAAAAATGATGGTGGTGGTTCCCCTGCTCCCACCTTCCACCCCCTTCACAAAGAAAACCATTAGAATACCAAAAATGTCTACCATGAGCAGAATGGCTGTGCTGTCACCCACTGGCAAGGCAGCAGTCTTCCCAAGAGCAGATTTGCCCTGCAAGCTGATGTCTAGACTTGTCTGATTCCTTTAACTCAGACTACAGGAAAGTATGCGAGCATGTGGCATTCATTGGTATTAGTTTCTTTTGGATACTTTCAACCCAGCTTGCTAATGTGGTGAATTCCAAGGAAAAGAATTCTGTGTGAACTTGTGGCTTGATTTGCATCACGGTTCTCAAATATTAAGGTTTGGAGACTAAAACCTTTGATAACTGCTGTACCTTGGTCACCTTCTTCTGGGGTTTCCTTTTCTTAAAAAGGACATTAGTTAGTTCTTTAGAAGTGTATGTCATTGCTAAAAAAGCAGGACTAAGGCTTGATATTCTTCTCCAGGCCCTTCCCAAAACCCCCAAACAGTCAGTAAAAGTTAGTGGCTAAAGACTGACATAGGATCTAGCCTATGCCCGACACATTCTGGTTTTTTCCTCATATTTGTCTGCTGTTAAATATCTTCAGCTTTGAAGAAAATGCTTGAAGGCATTTACCAGGAAATCCAAGGAAAACAGCTAAGTAGCCTAAAGGCAGTATTGTATTTTGGAAATCATTGGTATCCATTTAAATATATTTGAGTTTCTGATATGTGAGTGTGTTTGTTTCTTTCCCCTACTTGTAAAAACTCCTGCGGGAGGTGTAAATACTAAAAAGAAAACCCTACAATAAGCAATTTGGCATAGGGAATGACGAGTGTAATAGTGAGTAAGATTTCTAAAGAATGTTTAAGATAACCTATATAGTTCTGTAGATTGCGATTAGCATTTGCTACTCGACCCTGTTTTTTCCAGCATCATTTCTAATGAACTCTATTGCTTTCATTCCTATTTGACAGAGCTGGACTTTTCCTTTAAGAGTAAATTTTACTTTGCTTTTGAAACATTTTCTCCTGTGACTCATTTAGGTTAGCTATACTAGTTCAGAAAATCTATTGAGATGCTTGTTTTCCCTCATTTGGTTTGAAATATTTCCATCCTTTGTAAAGCATGTGTGCATCTACTGATGCTAGTTGCTGTATTAGAATTCAATATTTATTTTAATAAGACCTAGTGGGGAAAGAAGAATCTTTAAAATTTGCAGTTTCAACAAAAGGATGGATATTTCAAAGGGCAGAAGCAGATTTAAATGATCAACCTTTTTTCTTCTCCAAGAAGATTAGGTGCAGGGCATGGGAAGTAATATTACCTCTTTATTTGGCACTTGTTAGCACTTAGCTAGAGTGTTTTGTGCAGTTTTGGGCTCCATTTTTTAAAAGGGCTATGGAGAAGTTAAGGAATGTCCACAGGTGTACAAGAAAAATGAGAAAGAGCTTGGCAGGCAGGCCATATGAAGAAAAGTGCACTTAAGAGGGGACATGATAGTAGTTTTCAAATATTTGAAGGGCTGCCAGAAATAAGAGGGACAACACCTTTTTCTCTTATTGCAGAGAGCAGAACACAGACCAATAACTTGAAGTTGCAGAAAAGTAGGTTTAGATTGAATATTAGGAAGAACTTCTTCATTGTTACAACAGCAAGGCGGAATAGATTGCTGAGGGAAACTGGAATCTCCGTCACTGGAGGTGTTTAGGAAGAGGTTGGACAAGCATTGGTCAGGGATAATCTTGGGAGTATCTATGACCTATGCTCTACTATGGGTATTTGCCATACTTCTGGACTTCGCCAGCTGCCATGTGGGGCTGTGGAGGAATGTTTTCCTCTTCTTGCTGCTGTGTGTGTTGGAGGGGCAGGGGGAGGTTGTGGGGTTTTTTTTCTTTCTATCTGTATGCAGAAGCATGTGGGTGGGGGGGAAGGGGAGAAGATGGAAGGGACAGGACAAGGGGTTGGCTGCAGTCAAGGATGGAGATTTTGACTGTTGCTTGCCAATGCACCTAACTTGAACCTGGACCTTCCTGGCCAGAATGTATTGCCCTTCACTCAGGATCAGACCGATTGCTTCATTTGGGGTCAGGAAGGAATTTACCTTGTGGTCACATAGGTACAGACTGTGGAGGTTTTGCCTTCCTCTGTAGTGGGAGGCATGGCCCTCTTCCTTGGATCTCTCAAGTGTATTTTAACAACCCTTGTAGCAGCAGGATCTTGGCTGCCATAGTTCCCCTGATTTGGGGGTTATGTCTTGTGGCTGTGTCAGGGTTGACTACGTAGTTTAACTAACAGGTTGGACAGTGGATTTATTAGGATGGTTTGGATAGTGATGATCCTGCCTGTAACACAAGCTGGCAGTCCTCAATCACTAGACAGCCAAGCCAGCCCTCTCATAGACTTCAGTGAGAGTCGCATCCCTCTGGCCTCTAACAACCTTTGCAAAATTGATCCCTTAGGACTTCAGGGCTGAAATGTCTGAAGGAGATTATTATCTGAGAACTGCTTGTATTTGGAAGCTGCAGTCAGACCTTTTCTAAAAGCATTTCTTGTCTCAGATAGCAAGGGAGTCCTATCATTTCAGAGTGCTATAAACTGATGCTATTGCACAGAACCAACAGCATGTTTTAGTGACATGGGTTGTGGCAGGGCTTGGCCAGAGGAGGGAAAGCCACTTGAATGTTGGCATTTTTTTTAATTGACATAAAATAGGCTGCTAGGGGAAGTGGTTGGCTGTAGAGATCAACAGCACCTCTCGTCTACTGCAAGAATAAATGAGCAGGGTTGAAGCCCATTTAAGGGGACTGTTTTGAGTCTCAATTCCACTCAAATCCAAAAATAAATTATTTATGGCAGGATGACTTTATGCCTGATTTTAAAGTTTAAATTCACTGGCAGTTGAATGCTAAACAAATTCTCAGCTGATGTAAGCTCTCGAGGCTCCACTGGCTTCAGTCAGAACCTCTGGCATTCCCTATGCAGACTCTGCTGCCAGAGTGGAAACTGTACTCTTAAGAGATGCTCTCTGCTCCAGGGACTGCAAGAGATGGCAGAAGCCAGGGGAGGGTCCACATACACTTTCTGTCCACTGCCAGATGTCAGCAGTTATACCACATCTGCCAGAAATGAGAGTTCTGCCTGCCACCACAGAGGAGTTGGGTACAGATATGCAAGTTTTGCTACCAGAACTGGAACTCCACTGCTGGAGTTTTGTAGAGTAGATGAGGCATTAAGCCTGGATCCTGGAACTGACTCCATAAAGGCAGACCCCTGCATCTGCATGGAGCCAGAGGAACCAAATGAAGAGGATCTAAGTATAGTAATGGAAGCCAGAGGAAAAGTGGCTCCTTGCTTTCATAAAGGAACCTGAATTGGCATCACAAAGCTGACTGCCTTCTCAGTATTAGTTTATATTTGGATGTCTGAGTAAGAGAGTCTTCTTAAATCATGACATCCAGGATGGGTACAGAGCCAATCTCTGGTAGGCAGAGACGAGGAGCACCAGAGGAAGCTCCTGACCAGGGATCCAAGCAAGTGCAGAGAGTGTGCTCATCTTGTTAACCAATTAGCGGGGAAGACTCTCTTGCTACAAAGTAGTCAAAGTTGTTCAGGACGCTGGGGATTTCCGCGTTCCTCCTTATCAGCCTTGCCAATGTTCCCTCTCTAATGAAGTAATTAGCAAGGTGAGTGCTATCCTGTAACCTCCCATGGTGAAATAAAAACTTGCACTGTAAGAGTATATTACCTGGGTGGTATGTGGTGTTTCTCATCTCAAAATAACACTGAAGATCTCTTCCTTTTTTCAGTCTAAGTCATGGCAGGCGAGTTCAGCGAGCGATCGAGCTAGACCCACTGTGCACACACAACTGCAAATGGTGAAATTTGTGAATAGGGCACAGCGTTCCTGAACGCAGTGCGCCCGGGGGGTGGGGGGGCCTGGCGGCAGCAAGTGCAAAACTCACTAGGAGCTCTGGTAAGTGTTTAAAGTGTATTTAAAATGTGGGTTCAGCATTCGCGAATATTTGAAACTGCGAATGCCGAACCCATGAATACCAAGGGTTTTCTGTATTAAGATCCTTGGAAGACAATCTTACCTGTATGTGAGTGATCACCCATCATCATCATATTCTGGTTGCTATGCAGCTTTGCCTGTCAAGAAAGGAACTAGCTCTCTTGTGCTTGCACAATATTCAGCACCCTGTGGGTGTCACCATAGTTGATGTATTTTATAATAATGGATATTTTACAAACCAAATATATAACAAATATGTAACTTCTGCTTTCTGTCCTCTTATTTATAGGTCAGTTTCATGTAGCTGTAAACCTGACAATACATTTTATCTCTTTTGGCATGTATCCCAACCCAAAGATCCTTTTCTTGACTGATAATACCATTTTTTTTTCATAGTTGGTAGGGTCGGAAGGGACCTGAGCAGATCATCAAGTCCAACCCCCTGCCATGGCAGGAAAAAGTACTGGGGTCAAACGACCCCAGCAAGGTGTTCGTCTAACCTCCTCTTAAAGACCCCCAGGGTAGGAGCCAGCACCACTTCGCTTGGAAGTTGGTTCCAGATCCTA